AAATGGTGGAACTGTTATTAAAATATTAAACTCTTCATCATATCACCCCCTGATACTGTCCCTTATGGGAAATCTTTCTTTTCTTTTTTTTTTTTAGTTATTTATTTCTTTATTTTCTGGATAATAATATGTGAGTTTGATATTATTCCACAGCAAAAAATCTCTTTATAAATATATTTTGTCTTCCTCACCAATATTATCTATACAGTTAGAGAAGACTCAGATTTGACATACATACGGGTAGAGCTGTCTAAGTATGCTAGTGCTGAGTATTTGTCTGATAAATATATAAAAAAAACAAATATGCAAAAAAATGCATGTCAAGTGATTTTTGTTTTGTTTTAGTATTGTTACTAGTTATTATTGACTAATCCTACAATTTTAATCTGAAAATCCTATGGACTATTTACTTATATAAAAAATTCCCATTGGAGAGCATTACAAGTTGGCGTGACGATTTATTACACTGTTTTACACTAGCACTAACATTTACGTTCACTGCACTAGCTCAAATGGCGTCTTCCTTTTGAGCCTTTTTTGTCCATCGATTGATTCTGTTGCAGGTTTCTTTAAGTTAGTTTTTCTGAGGTCCCTATTAGTTCCACCAACTGTCAATATTGAAGTGTCATTCGCAAATGTTGCTATTTTAACAACATTGTTGTTGATAGATTTAGCTGGTGTATAGTAGGTAAAGAACCGGTTCTAGCACACTGCCTTGTGGGACACATGCTTCAATTTCTTTCATTTCGGAGTATGCCGTCTCTTGTTAGATATAATTGAAGAATGTTGGAATATTGTGTAGAGAACATTTTTTCATGTTTCTGTAACAGGCCAGCATGTCAAACCTTGTCAAATGCTTGGGCTACGTCATGAAATAGAGCTGAGCATATGAATTTTTCTTCGTATGCTTTTTCGATGATATCGGCTATCCTGTGTACTTGATCTACTGTCGAATGATTGTTTCTAAAACCTCATTGATGCGAAGGGAAAATAATTTCCGACAGCCAACATGGATTTAGAGCTAATAAATCAACTAACACAGCAATATTAGAATGTATAAACTATATATATGAAGAACTTAACCGGAAACAGCATATTATAGGTATTTTTTATGACCTTACCCGTATCTTTGACTCTATAGACCATAGCTTACTATTAAAAAAAACACGAAGGTATAGGAATAAGAGGAAAACCACATGACTGGGTAGTCTCATATTTGGCGGAACAGACAACAGCTATTGATGGGGCTTCATCTGAATGCAAGAGTAATGCATTAGGCATTCCTTGCTTGGGTCAATATTCTTTATAATTTTTATTAACGACATTTCAAACACTTGTGAAACATCAGATAAAGCTGTTTTTTTATGCGGATGATGCCAATATGATACTGTCTGAGAAATGTGTCAGTACCCTAGTAGAAAATGGAAATAACATCACAATGGAATTTGAGGGATATTGGGGTCTATTCTGTAACAATTCCTTTATATTTAACGGCCTTTAAAAATATTTTCTTCTTTACTTCTGTCATTATTTAAATGGATCTTTAAAATACATTAGAGGACTATCTTAAAGAAATCTGTTTAAATAATGACAGAAGTAAATTAACGAATACAAACATATTTTTAAAGTTCGCCAATATTTTTAAAGTCCGTTAAATATAAAGGAATTGTTACAGAATAGACCCCATTGTGAGGAAAACGGCTTTCAACTAAATTGTGAGAAAACCTTATTTATGAGGTCTCTACCTAAAAATATTACTCATGACGAAGATTTGCTAATTAAACTTTCTGGAACATCAATAGAAAGTATTCAATCAATGAAATTTCTAGGTGTAACTCTTGATCTTAAGCTAACGTGGAAGCTTCATATCAATAAGCTTTGCTCAAAGCTGAGTAGCACCTGCTTTTTATTGAGATGTCTTAGGGATAATGTTTCAATTAACAATATTATATTTCGGACTGGTACAATCTCAGTTACAGTATGGCTTGTGTATGGCTTGTTGGTGTATAGATATAGAATTCATTATGCAGAAGAAAATTGTAAGTTGTATGGATAGAGCTCATCCATTAGCAAGCTGCCGAAATATATTTAAGTAATATGAAATTCTAACAGTGTACTCTTTTTATATTTTACAGTTAATACTGTATATCTATGATAATAAGAACCAGTTCACCTTAAACAATGAAATTCACTCATATAATACCCGCCATAATGATGACATTCGTGCACTTTTCTCAAGACAGAGTGTCAGAATTGTCCCAATTATATAGAGGTTAAATGTTTCAATCAAATGAAAACGCTTATTGACTTAGTCTGCCCAAGGAACAGCATGAAGAATAAAATTATTAACTTCCTCTACAATACCACATTTTACAATATTGATGAGTTCCTTAATTCTTGAACTACACAATGTTAACCAGGTCATTTTCTAAATTTTAAATTGTATGTTTCTTTTAATAATATAAGTAGTCTTATGTGTATAATTAAGGGTTTACTATTTTTTAATATAATTGTTTTCAATAATTTTAATATTGTTTAGCCTGATAAGTGGCTTTCACTATGTGAATGTCCTTTTATGGTGAATAGACTGATTTGATTTGCTCTTCAAATAACTTAGATATTATTGGTAACAATGATATAGGTCTATATGATGACACTTCATTCGGAGGTTTTCCTGGCTTAGGAATTAGGATAACTTCAGCCATTTTCCACGCATCTGGTATATATTTAAGGCAAAATGCTGCAGTTTTGAGGCATTCAATTTACCGATAGCCTTCATTGAAGGTTTCTTTAATATTTCTCCAGTAATAAGGTCATATCCAGGGGTTTTCTGTGGGGGATGATGTTTGTCTGAACTTTTTTGGGAGTAACTAGCCCAATTTTGAGTTGTTCCATATTATGGATCGTCTCATTAGGTGTATCTTGATTTTCATCTAATTGGAATATCATTTGTAGGTGGCCATCTATTGATTATCTCTTGCCCATTTATTATCTGCTATTTTGCTAGGAGGACAGTGCTTATACGAATTTTGTATGTTTTTAGTATCTGTTAAAAAATTCTTCTTTGTGATGTAGGATTTCTCTTTTCAGTCTTTGTATAGCCCTATTTAACATATTTTTTATCTTCTGGTGATCTTGTGATCTGCCATTTCTTTCTTAGTGTTCTTTTTTCTGCTACCATTTCTTTTTACAGGATAGTTTTTTTTTTAGTTGGCTTCTTACTTTTGTTTTGTTTCTCCATGCACCTTGCTGGATTTCTATTACAAACTTTTCCAGTTCTTCATCTAGCTGATTTTTCGTTTTTAGTATTATGGTCAATTGAATAGTATTTGATAACCTTTCCGATTTGCTAGGATCAGTTTTGCTTCTTTTTGAATAACATTATCACTTACAGTAAGGATTACTGCAGGATGGTCTGAATCCACATCAAAAGTTTTCGTCTACTTGTGTATAGTTTGGTGAAATTTTTCTCAGAATAAAGAAATGCAAAAGGTCTGGAATCTTATTTGGGTCTGTGGACAAATAGGTGGTTTTTTTCAGAAGACTGGAATGTACATACAAGTTCTGATGCAGCTCGGTGCAATTCTTTTCTTTTAACTGTGGTTAATCTTGAACCGCAGGTGGTATTTTTGGAGTTGTAATCTCCATTAATTATAAATTTGTTACCTAATTTTTGAGCACATTAAGATACCTATTTTTATTTTTTGGTTTGTGTCTTGGTAGGCAATAGATTGCAGCTATTGTAATTTTGTCTTGGATGCCTGATTCCTCATAGTGGGAAATGTTATTTTTAATAGTTAGGGCACTTCCTCCTCTTGTTGCATTTGATGGGTGGATAGAAGTTATATCCTCTTAATTTAATTTAAGACTCCGATGTAATGTGGGTCTCAGAAATCATACATATCTATGATTTGTACATCCAAGAAAACTTGGATATTAGTTTGTTTTTTGAGGATATTATTGGCATTTCAATATCTATTTTGTCCATTGGTATATCTGTTATATATTTGGGGATTATTTATTTCTTCTAGCTTCTAGAACCTGTCAGAGATTAGTAATATCCATTCGACAAAACGGTATTAATAATAGTAATTTATTTCTGTTCTCAATATTCCTCTTCTTTTTACATTCCAAAAATACAGTTAATATTATAAAGGTAGGTAGGCACTATGAAGAAATAATAACAAAATCATGAGTTACTGAAAAGTATTCAAGATTTAAGAATAATTGTGGTGTACATGAGGTTCGTACGTGATGCATTAAACCAAAATAACACAAAGGCAGACAATTTGATGAGAGAAATATCTAAATAATAACCCGTTTTTTACCCTCCCCATTCTGTCTACAGGAGCTCAAGCGTGGCATCACTACACCCTTTCAATGTGAGAACACATAAATATAGAACAAAAAGGTTTACATCTCTTTCAATTTGTAATACATTTTTATCCAAAAATGTACGATATCAAAAGTAGTACCTACTTATTATGTCTTATTGAGTTGGATGAGATACAGAAAATAAAAAATAGGTAAATAAAGAAATTTTAGACTATTTTAAAATATCTAAAACCTTTCAAAATAGTTGTAATAAATGAAGATATACTGAGGAAAAGTCCACCATACAATTAGGAAGAAAAAGAATATCTTTAAAAACGAAGTGTCTAGTTTTTTTTTGCTTTTTAAAACAATGTGTAATACCAAATATGTCTAGAAGTTTCTTCTAAGTCAACATTTTAGTTTCTTAAGTTTTCATATTGTAATTATTTTATTCTTGCACCCATTCTCTGGTTAAGGTCTAAATAATAATCACAAAAATCCCTTATCTATGATGTGGCTATGTGGCCTTGAGGTTTTATTTGCAAAAATTGCAATGGTGCTAATATTTACATAGGCTTACTTGTAGTTATGCCAGAGTTTGTAATTTATGTAGTACGAAACATATTGCAAATAAAAAAGTTGAAATTTGAAATAAAGATATATTAGTAAAATAATTAAGTACTTACTGTCCAAAAAACGAACAAAAATATAAGGGTTAACTTCATTTTTGGAAAATCACATTGGGTACACTAAAAGAAAGTCCAATTCTCGAGGAACTGCTTGGGCTTCTTCAATTGTACTGACAAATACCTCTGCACATCTCGATTATATACTTAAAATTTTAACAAAAATACCTGCATGTATTAAGAAAAACCTTTACACAAGCATTAACCCTAATCTTCTGCAAACGATATCGAAAAACAATAATATTTCTTTATTTTGAAAAATGTCGTTGTTTTTTTAAAGGTTTTTCGTCACTGATGAAATAGTTAAATGATTTTGGCGTCAATTTTGCTAAAACTGCGAATATAACTAGTAGCAAAAAAATTGTAATTTTACCACGTAAATTCATTTAAATATTTACTTTGGTTAAGAGATATCTGGAAGCTTATTATTGTTTACCTAGAGTTTTACCTATTCATAATGTAAGTATCTTTGAGACCACCAATTAAATATAAACAAACCATATGAACTTTTTTTTGCATAAAATAGAAAGTTGCTACCCGATTTTATTATACAGGGTATCCCAAAATTGCTGGGACACAGAACTACCACATGTAGTAGTCAAAATGTACCATTTGCCTGTGAGAAGAGTTCAAAATTTATATAAAAAAACACATTTTTGTATACTGTTCAGAAATGAGTAAAACAAATTAAATGAAATTTGTCAAAAGTGTATTTTTGAGGATTACTCTCGTTTCGATATTTAAAGAAACCTAAAAGAAGTTATAGAAGGGTTAAAACCACCCTCACATCCTGACATTTTTTTAGAACTTTCCTACGCCACTGCACATCATACAAAGAGAAACCAGGTCAGCTATTCACAGGCTAATGCAGGGACAAAACCCAATAAGCCAACTACGTAGAGGCGACCACACAATGCCATATCAGCAAGTAAAAAGGGATAACATTCTAGCTATGCCTACTGATAGAGCCATAACCACATACACATTTGAAAGAAATTTTCAAATTCAAATAAAAGCCCGAGAATCCTGGAAACAGGGACCTCCCGTACAGGCTGAACTTGTGTGGTATACAGACGGTTTAAAAACCAAGGAAGAAGCCGGTGCTGGAATATATGGACCCAAGTCGAAAATAACGATTTCGCTGAGTTTAGGAAAATATGAAACAGTGTTCCAGGCTGAACTAATAGCCATAGTGCAAGTGAAATATTAAATCAGCAAGTATCAGGCAAAACTATTGCCATATGCTCTGATAACCAAGCAGCTCTAAAGGTAATTCTCTCAGCAGAAATCAAATCACGACTGGTGAAAGACTGTCTAGAAGACCTGGCAGAGCTAAGTAGTCAAAACAAGGTGACCCTAGCCCGGGTGCCAGGCCTTGAGGGATATCAGGGCAACGAAAAGGCCGACCGATTAATTATCTTCATTTTGTTACTCTTGTAAAAATTTCGTATGTCGCATCTTTATCTTTATATTTGTCGGTTATAAGCAGGTAGGTTTGGCCCAGAACACTGCGGCCTCTTGGTAGGGCCGCATTAAGCACCAGCGGCGCCCCGGGCCAACACTTTTAAAGCGCCCCTTCCCAACAATTAATTTTTCAATCTATTATTAAGGTATAAACATGATCAAAACAATTATTCAATGCATTTATTTTGAAAAAATATTAATATAACAAAAAATAACATTACAAGCATTTCAAGATAAAAAATCAATAAAACAAAAACTTCGAATCCCATTTCCTTTTTATTAAAGTGTATTAAAGAAGTTCACTCTCAATGCACAATAAAGCTAAATTGCAGGTCTTCGAATCAGATAAATTATTTCTTAAATAGTTCTTGACTCTACGTAGTGTTGAAAACGACCTCTCTCCGGTAACATTAGTTGCTGGTATTGTCAAAAATTTTTTTAAAGCAGTGTCGATATTTGGATATGTTGCAACTATTTTAAGTCTTCTCAGAACTTGTAGTATCTTCGCCATATTGTAGTTTTCTTCTTTGTTTTCTTCCTTCAAAGCTTTTAGAAACTATTTAAATTGAATACATTCTTCTGCAAAATCTCTATCAAGTTCAGACTGATAACTCTGCCATACATTTGCTGCCTCTATTGAAATTTGATTGTCCGAAAGATCACATAACGATCCCATAAATTCAAACGTGTTTGAGGCCCTTTCATAGGCTATTTTTCTTCGAATTAGTTCTGATGACAAATTATCTAATATATTGTAAAATGTGTTAATTTTCATATTTTGTTTTCCATCAAAATTCGTTTCAACTTCTTTACTCTCATCGAAAGCTTTCTTTCTTATTATTTTGTTAAATCTTTAGCATTTTGTTTGATTTCTTCAAATGTTTCGTCGGTTCGCAAGCTGCTTACATACAGTATTAGTGAATCGTAGAGTTGTGTCACTAAGGAAACGTCTGTGGACTGTTTTTGTAATGTTTTGCTCACACTATCAAATTTCGGTAGCAACTTATTCCACACTTCTAAAAGAATTCCATTTTCCAGTTTGTTCATTGCAGCCCGCAAACCAGTAGCTTGAACCTTTGTTACTGGAGGTTGATTTGGATCATCTATTAAGTTTTGAAGGGCATTTTTGTAGCTATCATAACAGCTGTAGAACGCTCTAGTTGCGTCCGCACTTATTTTTTTTTGGGAGCAAACAACTTTCCGCAGCACAAGAACCTATCAGATTTAAAGAATGAGCTGCACATGGTATGTATAGAGCTTTGGCATTGTGTTTTTTTATGCGAGCTTGTAGGCCCGAATATTCGCCGGATATATTTGACGCATTGTCGTATGACTGTCCAACGCTGTCCTCGATAGGTAGAGTGAATTCATCAAGTGTTTTCAAAATTGCTACTTCCATATCTTTAGCTTTATGCCCAACCTTGCTAATAAATTTTATGAAACGTTCAACCACCGATCCAATTGGTTAACTGGTCTGTATGCGAAATATCAGTTGTCGAATCTACGCTTATTGAGTAATACTTGGCACTTTCTATTTCTACTATTATTTTTTCTCTGGTGGATTTAGCCAACATTTAGCCAACTGTGGAACGTAATGTATACGTTTTTGTATTGTCTCGATGCTCTATAGATTTCTCGTGTTCCCCTATTCTTTCTAGATGCTTCCAATCATTAAATCCATTGACGAATTGTGAAAGGTTTGATCCGAATAATTTACACTGCAAACAGTACATTTTGTTGGTTGATGGAGAGTATAAAAGCCATTCCCTCCGGATATTCTCGCCATTTACTAATTTCACGAAAAACATTTTCTTTGATGCGTATCGACTGCGATTTTCATTGGGATACAGTCTTTTTGACTGTTCAAAATCTATCTGTTCCAAATTTTGAGCGAAAGGATTCTTCAATATTAATTACCCACACAAGTTTCGTCAATTCTAACAAAAAAAATAATTACTTAGGTATAAAATATATTTATTAAATGTACCTTTGCACTTATCACCAACAGTAACCACATTGTTTATGGCAGCGACAATCGCATTTTTATCTGAATTTTTCGACCACGTCCCTGTTCCTGATGTAGATGAAGATGCTATTACATTATTATGATCATATTCTTCGTCTTCCATATGTGGCTGTATTACATTCGTCTCACTAGTTTTGGGTGCAATTTTAAAATAATTGTCTTGTTTTGGAACTTTGTTCAACAATTCTTTAGATTTCTCTTCCTCCTCCCTAAAAAGTTTCCCTCGTTGAGCTCCACTTAATTTACGTGAACTCATGATTCTAGTGGTAACAAATTAACAAAAGAACTATGCTACTATGCACTTTGTCACTACTGATAAACTGTCCATATATTTCGTAGCTACAACTTCGTCACCAGTCACAACACAACTCGCAATATGACACATGCACACACGTATTCATTATTCAACTGAATCATATTATGAGGGTTATGATTGACAACCTGTGTTATTTTATAAACACACAGAAATTACAACCTGTTCACAAATAACGTGTCTGTTAAAAATAACATTACTTGTCGATCATAACCCCGTAAAGTCATCATCGCGTCGGCGGTGCACGCGCACATCTCAGGCATAGCCGGTGCTCAGCCGTAGCCCAGTGCAGGGAGGAAGTTACGTGAAAAACAAAAAATAAAAATATGTTACGGCACAAAGTACCTGGATACATGTGATAAGTTAATGTTAAGCAGTTTACATTCCCCACCAAGTGTTCCTGGGGCGTTCTTTCCGGTTCTAGGCCGTAAAGGATGAAACGTTGCCTACTAAGAGCTTCGCATTCGAAGATCACATGGCATGAGGTTTCTTCCTCTTCCATGCAGCGTCTATACGTAGTGGGATCATTGGCATTCGATTTAGTAAATCATCAGTTAATATTAGGAAAGTTAAAACACTTAGGTTTTGATAGGAATAGTTTATTGTTGTTCAGCAACTACTTGACTGATAGGACACAACGAGTTAAGCTTGCAGGTACATATTCAGACTGTAGGAGAATAGTTAAAGGGGTACCTCAAGAAAGTGTACTTGGACCTCTGCTCTTTTTAATTTTTATTTTTGATTTGCCAAGATGCCTCACTTACATGAACTATCATTTGTATGCAGATGATTTTCAACTTTATATGGGAATCGAAAATATTAATATAGAATATGATATTGATCACATTCACGAGGATTTGTTGGCTGTACATGAATGGTGTGTTAATCATGGTCTTAAATTGAATCCTAGAAAGTCAAGTGCCATTTGTATGGGTCCAAAGTTTAAGTGCAGGTCTATCACTAGTTTTGAACTGTCTTTATAGAGAAAATCATTACATGGTCAACTTGTGCTAAAAATTTGGGACTTATTATGAATGGAAATTTGAATTTTAATGAGCATGTTAATCATTTAATAAGCGTTTCATACTTAAAATCAATTTATCATTTGAAGTTTCTCTTGAGTGAAAACAATAAATTAAAACTTATTAAAGCTCTTATATATCCTCACATTGATTTAGTTTATTACTATTTTCTTAGTAAATATAACCAAGAGAAACTTCAGAAGATTCAAAATTCCTGTATGAGATTTACTTGTAATATTCCATATAGAGATCATGTTTCTCCATACCTACATTCGCAGGCTAAACGAATATAAAATTCAGGAACGGGTAAAATATTTATATTTAATTATTTTGTATAAAATTTTAACGTCTAAAATTCCTCAGTATTTACATAATATCTTACTAAGAAGATCAACTCTACACAATGTAAATTTAAGAGTCAACACTTTTACAACCCCAGTGCATAGAACTTCAAAATTCCAAGTTTGTTTTAGTTATGTTGCACCATTATTATTGAATTCAGAACTTAATTATTTAAATCTGAATTTTAATAATTTTGTTAAGACTATTAGGCAAGTTCTCATTTCAAGATAATGATTTAGTTTAAAATTTAAAATAATTATTTTGGTAACATTTTTTTTGCTGTGACAACAAGGATGAATTGAAAAATGACTTAGCCGAATTCATTCCTTTTGAGACACTTATGTATTTATAGTTGCTCAATAAACATTATTTATTTATTGTGTAGTCTCATCACATGAAGGTGTTTCAGAAAGCAGTGCCCCGATAGTAATCCCGCAATGGTGGATAACTGAGGTCTTACAAGTTGTAGTGCCTCAGTAGTCATGCGTGCCTTAGCATGAGCTTTCTGATTATGTGCCTTCTTATCTGTTGCCAGTGAATTTGGTGTTTTGTGGTTATCCACCTGTTCATTGCCTGTCGAGCAGAGGTTTTGCTAATCCCAAATACAGGTTCGGGTCCTGTGAATGGTGGATCTGATCCCTCTTTGGCGAGTTCATCAGCCTTTTCATTTCCTTGGATGCCTTTGTGCCGTGGTACATTAGTTTTACCTTGTTGTGGGTTCCAACGCAGTTCCAGACAAGCTTTGACTTGATTCTGTTTGAATCAAGATCCTTTAAGGCTGCTTGGCTATCTGAGAGAATTAGGATGGTTTGTTTTTTGTACTTCCTTCTTATATTCTCTCGTACACACAATTCGATTGCATGTATTTCAGCCTCAAATACAGTGGTATGTTTTTCCAGTGAGACGATGATGTCACATTTGGGTCCATGTACGCCAGAGCCTGTTCCCTTGTTAGTTTTAGATAATTCCGTATACTGAACGAGACCGCTATTTATATATCTCCTTATTTACTTCGCTCCAGTTGCAGTTGACCTGTTAGGAGGGGTGTCATGTGATCTGATCCCATGTTTAATATAGAATCGTTTACTTCATGTGTTATTCTGGTATGTTTTATATGTCCCAGTGGATTCCAGTAGTTGGAGATTTTCAGTCTGTATGCACTCATTCTGGCCTCCCCCTTTATGACTAGGTCAAGGGGTGGGAGGTTTAAAATGATTTCCATAGAGGCTGTCGGTGTATTTCTCAGTGCTCCTGTAATACAAAGGCATGTCAGTATCTGAATTTCTGAGAGGGTATTGAGGGCTGTTTTCTGGTTTACTTTTGGCTACCAAACAACCGCTCCATAAGTTATCATGGGTCTTGTTATTGCCAAATATAGCCAGTGGACCATTTTTGGTTTTAATACCCATGTTTTCCAAATGCCTGTCTCCCTACAATGAGAGACATTTTACATTTGTTGGTCACTTTTTGTAAGTGTTGGTTGCAAGTAAGTTTGCTATCTAAGATTAGACCCAGATATTTTACTTGGTTTGTTTCGTTTAGCCTTCCTCCAAACAGAGTCGGAGTTTCTAAAACCTCCAACCTTGTTTTCCGAGTAAAGGTTATGAGTTGTGCCTTGTCAGGGTTTATCAAGAGGTTTTTCCTAACGCACCACATTTCTTTCAGCCTAAGAGCTCTTTACATATTCCGCATAGTTTCGAAGGAAAAAAATATTTTCTTAAATAAAAGCTAACATATATTTCTAGTACAACTTTAATAAAATTGTAATACGAAATTTCAATTTCAATTTTTTACGTCGAATTAACCTTTGTATCGATGAATGTGGCCGTCAAAACATTTATTATAAAAAACGTTTTGACTTTGTTTCCACTGCCAACTAAATTTTGTATTACAATTTTATTAAACTTGTACTAGGAATGTCTGACATATGACGTAAATGTTAACGCAAAGATGCGGACACTTTTAGTATCGTCATAGTATCTGTCCTCTTTATTCTATCTCAATAATTATCTCTCAGAGAACCTATCATATTATGTATCAATCGCACTACCTTGCCAAATTGGGGTCATTGACGTGATTTGAAAGAAACTAATGACTCACTGGATAGCGTTTTTTTTTGCGCCAGGCTTTGTTACTGTTTCCCAGCGCCACTTTAGGCACGGCACTGTTAATTAGAACCCAACAGTGAATGGTCGAGTAGGAAATCCTACATATGCAATAGAATTAATATTTAATTTATTAAATTATATAAAAATTCATCAGTCATCAGCGGGATTCGAATCTGCGTCTTTTGGATCATAAAGTACTGACTCTGATCAATGAGCCACCCACCCCCTGATGTTCTTAATAATAATAAATGACTAGGTCAACTTTTAACCAACGATTTATAAATCAGAAAACGGTAATAAAATATTTAATAATGATTATGTTATCTGAGGCAGAAAATAACAGCTCAGTTGGATGTCTTCTATTCTCTCTATCATTGGTAATTAAAAGTAGGTTTGTTGGAACATTTTTTTTTTCAAAATATTTACATTGGCTGGCGATAGTGATAATTTTATTATCAAAGAGATTACTTATAAAAAAAACTCTTAGCAATTCCTTTTGTTTTTTATCATGTAGGTAATTCAAAGAATACTCTTAAAAAGATTATTAAATAATTGTTAATATTTATTTTATAAATAATATAAATCCTGTTTTCACGTGATTTTGATGTTTAAATTATAAAAATTATGCAAGTATACAGGAGTCGCGTAAAAATATATAAACTAATAAATAATGTCTCCAAACTACTAGAAATACACTGGGCAGCATAATTTAATTTATTATTAACACAAATAGTTTTTGTCATCACAAATTATTATTTTCTTCTTCTTTTTCAATCAACCGCTCTTCACATTCTTGCGTAGAACCATCGTTGCAAAATAATCCGTATGGGCATTCTTGTGGCCTTCCAAGAATGATGTATTTTCCATTATTATGGACACATTGGTAAAATTTCGTATCTGTAAAGCAGATAAAACCTTTATCCGAACAAGAAATTTCCATGCCATTGCTGCCAGTAAACTGAAACAAAAAATACAAATACCTATTAGCTAAATAGTTTATGTATATGAAGAAAATTGATTGAAACATTTTTATATCGATCATTTATTTATAAGGGATTAAAACTGCTGACAATTATTACGTGTAAATTGCGCAAACGTTTAATTTAACCCTTAACTGGTCCGGCACTCTGCCAGTAACGTAACTGGTCCGACGTAGTCTGTGAGACTACTTTTTTCGAAGGGCAAAAATAAAATAGGCAAATTATAATGTTTTATTTAACATAGATGTTAAAAACATTACTTATTAATAATAATAATAATAATATGTAAAAATAAACATATTTAAAACTAAATAAAAACAAAATTAAACCCAAAACTAAAACCCCCACAGAAATTTTGAAAAAGTACATATTTTTAAACAAAAGGCAAAAAATACAAGAAAAAAAAAACAGAAAAATTCTTTCATATTGCAATATTAAATTGTCAAAGTGTTAGGTAAACAAAAACTTACATAAAATACAAATCTAAAAAAAAACCAGTTGATTTTCTACATGAGCCAAAGTTCACTACCCTTGAACTAATTTCTGCCACAGCTTTTAGGAAACTGACGCCAGCTTGTCGCAAACATGGCTACCTGTCGAGCTACAATAGGGAAAGGATTAGATGTAAGGACCTGCCTGTGGGAGGTCCCAATAACCAATAAGAAAGAATTGTTTATATTGCGTAGTCTGTCAGACGACGCCGGATCAGTTTAGGGTTAAACACACTGTAAGTTTTGTTTATTATGTCTATTTACATGTTAGAGCCATCCGAAATACGGCGACTAACGAATAAGTTTGGCAACGCCGAAACCTGAGGTGGTCAAGCGGGAGGATCGCGGTCAGTGTTGCCGTTGCTATTACAATTGTAACAAATCTATTACTAAAAAGTTACACCAGTACGTTATTACGACTTTTAGGAAAAGAGAAAAAAATTATTACCTTTTAAAATATCAAAATTTTATGAGTGGCTCCATTTAAACTTAAACCTATACTTATAAAAATTAGAAATCTATGCATTTGTTATTTCTGTGTTTTCTTGTTTCAACAAATCCAAGATATGCGTCACTTTATTATTATTGTATTATTTTTTTGTTATTGGTCAGTTTTTAGTTTAGTAGGGGATAATAACCACCAGCCTCCAGCATAATTTATGTACTGTTTTTAATAACGTAGACCCCTTCAAGACTGAAGAAATACTACATTACAAAAATTTTCCCTTAGGTGAAGTTTGGACTAATATCTTTAAAATAAAAAAAACACTGCATGAACCAAATGTTTAAAATTTAAAAAAATTAATTTGTGGTTTATTTTCATTACCCCATTCTTTTGCAGCAGCAGAAATAATTTTCTCTCAACTAAATAATAAAGTTTTATTGTTAAATGTAATTAATAATAGTTCTGGTACATTTGTTACTTTAAAATCTTATCTATTACGTTTTTATTACCTTTTGGTTCAAAATTCTATTACGAAAAAATTAATTGGTGTGGCAACACTGATCGCGGTAGATTCCCGAGACGAGCGATAATGCGGATCACGCCGATTAATAATCCTTCCTCCATGATGCGGATATTGCGTCTTGAGCATGAGCACTAGTCGGGTCATGGACAGTTTTTATAGTTTTGTTATTAGTGCTATTATTCCGGTATAATTTTGTGGAATAAAACAGTTATAATATCTGTGTTTAATTTGTCTCTAACATACATATGCACTTTAGTTTGGACGATAGACCTGTTTGAATAAGAAACATATATGTCTAAATGGATGAAATCGCTAGTCTTTCCCTCATACACACTAGCAATACTTGTTCCGTGCCGGAAGTAAAATGTGGTGGAGCGCCTTTTTGAAGAATCACATTGTATGTCTAACTTGGAGATAAAATTAAATAATTTATCAATTAAAACATGCAAGACTTATTTAGAAATAAATACAACATTATGTTCTGTGGTTTACTTAGCTATAAACATTTTGACAAAATTATGTATATTCCCCATAAGAAGCCGTGTATTTTGAACACTGTTAGCAGAACCAGCGCTCATGCGGTTAATTATAAAAGCTCAATTAGCGTGCGTTTTTGGGACCGTATATCCGGAGATATACATGACCGTAACTTGCACACTTGTAAGCCAGCTACTTGAATGTGCAAGCTACATGCATGTGTATATGTTAACTTGCATGCAAGTAGCTTGTATACAAGTAGATTGAATCGGATTTGATTTTTTGGCATGTAATGTGCAAGTTGGGTGGTGGTGGAATACAAAATGCATGCCAAATTGAATGTGTGAACCACACAAGTACTAACATGCCAGTACTGGCATGCAAGATGTGATTGTCGTAACGAGTGGTTTTTTCTTTTTTCGTTTTGTTACCTCATTTCATGATTCGGTGGGGATATGAAAAGACGAATAAGTTTATTCGGTTGTATAGAGAGTACGAATGTTTGTAGAATTCGCATATGGGTATCTTGTTTTGTAATTTAGCCCTCAATTTTTGCCAATAAGTGATTCTTAAAATTCTTAAATGGTTTTTATACCCTCATATATCTTCTTTTCGCATTTTTGTAAGAAGAAGTTACCCTTCTGCTAATCCAATTTTTCACCCAAATACGATTTTTTCTTCTTCTTTTTTTCTTCTTCGTCTGTTCCATTTAGGTTTTATTATTTGACGTACGCATTTTATTGCAAGTGAAAATATAATACTATTTAATTCACTTTAAACCGTTTCCATGTGATTTGCTATTTGTAAAAATTCAAAAAACTAAAAGCACTTAAAATGTTGGACAAGTTAGCGTACAAACGTGATAATGATCTATTTGAAATCTCAACGTTCTTAAAGGTAAATGTATCCACCGTTTTCAAACTACTGGCACATACAGGCTACTGACATGCAATTTTACTTAAAAATGTATGTTCAGTCTGCAAGCTACTGACACATGCAAGCTGCTGGCATGCAAGCGACTAGCCCAAATTGATAGCATGTGTATCTCCGGTTTATTTTGAGTATGCCAATTCGTCTCCTTATCTCTAGTCTTCATATACATGCGATATGTCACTCTCATTGGAAATACAGGGTGTCCTTTAAAATGTGTCCCAAAATTCTCAGGCAGATTCCTTAACCAAAAAATGGAAAAAAAGTTCCTATAGACCTATGTCCTAAAGTGCCCCCTAAGCGAGCAACAGCCTCTCGAAATCATTTTTTTTATTTTGATTTTTTGAATTTTCTTAAAAATGGAAACAAATAAAAGAACCAAATTTTGGCTGTTAAATATGATCAATAATAGTGACCTTTTGACACCTTCAAAAAGAAATTATTTCGTCAGGGGTGTACTTGGAAATTTTTTGAAAATTTTGATTATTCATAACTTTTTTGTGTTTTTGGTAATGACTTATCCATATTTTTTTTTACATTCTACATTGAAAACTACGTCAAAAAGGAATACTTGTTTGATCTCGATTGGAGCAGCCGTTTCCGAGAAAACATCATCCAAAGATATTCGTGCAGTTTAGGTTAATTTTCAATTTTGGCTGTTGTAGCCAAAAAGTTGGAAATCGAGGAACACGGCTTACATGTCCCTATCCTTACTTTTGAAGGTCTATTCAGTGGCAAAAAATATTAGTTGATACAGGGTGATCAAAAATCGGATGTGATTTTGGATTTTTGATCACCCTGTATCAAATAATATGTATTTTATGTCACTGAATAGACCTTAAAAAGTTAGGATAGGGACTGTCAGCCGTTTTCCTCGATTTCCAACTGTTTGGCTACAACAGCCACCTGAATTTGAAAAAATGTGATTTTTGAGTAGCTGTAGATCCTTTACTATTCATATTAGATAACAAGTGTGATATATCATTGAAATCAGATTATCGAGCAGATTCTAAAAATATAAAAATATACAGGGTGTTCCATTTAAAAAACATAACTTTGATTTGGCACGGCCTTATGAAACACCCTGTCACATCGTAACTAATTTTAAAATGTGAAGCTTAAAGCTGCCTACTTTTATTATAACAGATCTACAGAGCTTCCTCACACTAATCAATCACCCTGTATACTATTTTTAGCTCTCTAAATAAAATTTAAAAATTTAGTTCCCATTTATTTATTATGAAGACCATAAGGTTTGTATTTAGCTGTTTAGAATAAAAAAGTAAAAATATGTATTTTTTTGGCGTTTTTGTGTTTCATGGATAATTTTTTTCGCTCACTGATAAAAATGTTTCTTCAGTTAAACATTATTTCTAAAAGTGTTCTGGTGCGATTCGTTGTATTGTTATTATTTTGTTTAAAATGGCTCACAATAACTACAATAATGATTACACATTCGGCGAAATGACGGACATGCACTTATGTTTTGGACTCGCTTCTGGAAATGCCAATGAAGCTCGCAGACTTTATCAGGAGCGCTTTCCAAATAGGCATCTTCCATGCGCTAAGTCGTTTTCTAGAATTGACGATAGACTTCGGGAAACTGGTACATTTAAGAAAAACTCTAGTAACAGTGGAAGACAAAATTATGTGAGAACTCCTGCTTTGGAAGAAGCAATTTTGGATAGGGTAGCTGAAACCCCATCGACAAGTACCAGAAAAATAGCAAATGGTAAGTAATTACTTATTTATTATTTTAGCTACCCCGTACCTTATCGTATAAAACTAGTTTTTTTACTTGTTATTGATTCTCTTACATTTCACGACTTTTCGTATCGAAAAGAGTTGCGTTATGCAGAAAAAATCTGATTTCCCAAATCAATGGATTCTCTTTCTTAACTATTCACTACACAGATTCTCTCATTTAATTTCAGAAGTGGGAGTCGGACGTAACACGGTATGGAAAGTTTTGCGTGAACAACAATTGTACCCTTACCACATTCAAAAAGTTCAGGCACTTAAAGCTACTGATTATGAGCCGCGAGTTATCTTTTCTGAATGGTTTCTTGGAAGATGTAATCAAGATGCAATGTTTCTTAATAAAGTGCTATTTACCGATGAAGCTGGTTTCACTAGAGATGGTATAATAAATTTTCGAAATATGCATGAATGGGCTGAAGATAACCCTCACGCGGTTGTTGAACGTCACCACCAGGATAAATTTTCAATAAACGTCTGGGCTGGAGTTATTGATAATTACCTTATTGGACCATTTGTTTTGCCGAATAGGTTAAATGGAGCAGCATACAGGCTTTTTTTGGAAAATAACTTACATGAGCTTCTTGATAATATTCCGATTCAAATCAGACATAACATGTGGTTTATGCATGATGGAGCTCCACCACATTACAGCCTTGAAGCTAGACAGCACCTTAACGAAAGATTTGAGGGTAGAGTAATTGGCAGAGATTGTCCTGTTAACTGGCCACCTCGTTCACCAGATCTAAATCCAATGGATTTTTTTGTTTGGGGTTATTTAAAATCATTGGCTTATTCCAGTCCTGTTGAAACAGTTGAAGAATTGGAAGAACGAGTTTTTCATCATTGCGAAGTTCTTAGGAATAATCCTGAAGTATTTTTTCGTGTAAGACAGTCTATGATGCGACGGTTGCGCTTGTGTGTGGAAACCAATGGTCGCCACATTGAGCATCTGCTTTAATTTTTTTTGATTTGTTTTTTTAGAATAAATATTTTTTTAAACCGTTTCTTATTATTAAATAAAAATAGTCCCACCACGACATTTGAACTACAATTATTTAGAGAGAGCTAAAAAAGTTATTTTTATTTACGAGATTCACCGAGGTAATTTAGGAAAATTGAAAATTAAGCTAAAGTGGACGAATATTTTTGGATGATGTTTTCTCGGAAACGGCTGCTCCAATCGAGATCAAACAAGTATTCCTTTTTGACGTAGTTTTCAATGTAGAATGTAAAAAAAAATATGGATAAGTCATTACCAAAAACACAAAAAAGTTATGAATAATCAAAATTTTCAAAAAATTCCCAAGTACACCCCTGACGAAATAATTTCTTTTTGAAGGTGTCAAAAGGTCACTATTATTGATCATATTTAACAGCCAAAATTTGGTTCTGTTATTTGTTTCCATTTTTAAGAAAATTCAAAAAATCAAAATAAAAAAAATGATTTCGAGAGGCTGTTGCTCGCTTAGGGGGCACTTTAGGACATAGGTCTATAGGAACTTTTTTTCCATTTTTTGGTTAAGGAATCTGCCTGAGAATTTTGGGACACATTTTAAAGGACACCCTGTATATTGTAAATTTCTATAACGTCAGCCACTAAAAGTGACAACGTAATTAGAAGCAAATAAATTCCATGCTAAAATAAGACTTATTGCACACCTGAAATTTTGACATTAGAGTCCTTGTCCTTATACATATTCCTAACCTCATTTTAAAAATTTTAAATTATAGTTAATCTATTTTATTGTTTATATTAGTACATAATAGGGAAGAGGCATTAGAAATTACCATTTTAGAAGGTTAAGAAGACGATGATATTAAATATTTAGTATTAAAGAACTTCGAACTGATACGAATGTTGGCGAGCGCACCCGAAAATTATAAAGTCGCCACTAACTGCTGTCCCTAAACGCCCACAATTAAGAACAGTAGTGAGATTCTCATCTTTTAACTCGGCACGTGTTGAGAAGCTTTTATCTTCGTTCCACAGAATGCGATTTGTATGTAATGTCTCCCTCTCTCTCTATTGGATTCGTTACGTGTTGAGTACGCACATAAGAATCCCTATCCAGGTACAATCTTTATTAAAGTCAGTTTTAGAATGTAAGTGATCTGCGCATGCTCAGATGTCAAAATAACAGCGGCACTAATTGACCTTAAGTGAACTTGCATAACTCTCGATTGTCACTTGTTATCGTTATTTCGTTCTGTCACTTATTTGAAAGAAATTTTTATATTTTTCTGATAATATTTGTTATTTAAAACTCCATAAAGCAAGTGTTAAAAAAGATAATAAGCAAGAAGCTGCAGAAACACAAAGCAGTACTGCAAAATAAACTGATTCTGGGGTCTGCTGTATTGTAATTAACATAGATTGTTCATTTGATTAAATTGAATTTTTCAAAAGTATAGTTTTTTTTTTATTGTGTATGAGTATATTATTGGTTCGAATGCACATACTTTGATTTTCTTTTACTATACGGAGAATGGTCGCACTGCGCAACTTTCTGAGTGCCTTTTAAAAGGAGATAGAAAACTCCGCCATTTTGAACCCTTATTACGTGTTGCCTACATCTTGGCGCAATATTTTTAATAGGTGCGTTTTAATCATCCGCTTCTGCTTCGGAATTGTCGGTTTTCTTGTTTTAATCTGACAGGTTAAAACGACTAAACCGACAATTCCGGAAGCAGAAGCGGATGATTAAAACGCACCTGATATTTTGCTTGCTGCTGTCAGTGTCAGTAAATATTATTTTTGGAGTCACAGTTTATTGCTAAAGAATCAGTAAGCTCACTCGGACCAGTTGAAAGTTCCAAAATAACATCCACTCCAGGGATACAAATTTAGGATACGCAGAAGACTGCTGTTTTATTATAGGCGGTTGTCATATATTGTATTATCTGAGTTGCGCAGTCTATAAACTGGAACATTGAGATAAAAAGTACCGACGCAGAGTGAGCGATCTGATTCTTTAGCTACAAACTGTGTCATAGGGTTCAAAATGGCCGCGCCCTATGTTGGGCGTGTCGGACCTCTCTCTTGCCCCGTATAGTAATCAAAGAGTATGTGTTCGAATGGCATTAGTTTACACTATTTGCCATATACTATTTTATATATGTAAAGGCTGTTTTTCTTTATTCTATCACCTATTTTTCCAAGTATTTTTTCGAGAATAAATATAAAATTATACGAAACAAACAAATAAATCACTATTTACAAAAACACAACATCTTTAACAACGTCCATAAAAGCATGTTATATGTTATATACCTACTTATCCAACATTGGAGAAAATGCATTGATCATGTTAAAAAGGTGGAAAATTCATTTTGGAAAGTGAATGAAAAATTTAATAGACCCTCAGAAATAGACCCTCAAAAAAGACAATGATAATGATACCAGTAGTTATAGTAAAAACAGTGACTTTTAAATATAGTTACTGAACTTTTTATTTTCTTTATCTTTGAATTGTTTTATTAAGTATTGGCCTTTTACAGCATAACACCCGTTTTGTAACCTTTTGTGTAACATTTATAACATGTATTAGAAACAATTTCGGTAAAATATTTACCTAAATTATTTCAGAAATAACTTGTGCTTGAAATGCTATGTTTGAAATATTTCTGAAATAATATGTGCTGTATAGGTACTCGTATAAAATTATCTAATATATACAAAAACTCTTTAAAAACTACTTTTTTTATGGAAATAAATAGTTAACAATTTAAACTTACCAAAACAACAAAACACAATACTAAAACAATTTTTGTTACTTTTTCGTTAACCATTTTTAATTTTTTTATTAAATCACAGTATACAATGCAATGTCTTCTACCCTGAATGAATGACTAATATTGAAATACGTAACAGAAGTTTGTAAACAAGTTTTCCAAAAATCATTAGTTGAAAGGTCGTCCGATACATAAATATTAATGAGAATGTCGATAAGTAATGTAATCCTATAACTGATATTAAATGATGAAATGATGCATTACGAAACACTTGTATCAATAAAAATCTAAATATTCATAATACATAATTTTATGATGACTTATAATTATTTACATGAGGTCTAAGTACGAAAATCAGTTTAGTATGTTTTTTATTTTCACATTTTTTTAATTTTTTTTTTCAATATTACACCTAGCTAAAAGCGACCTACTAGCAATTTTGTCTCAATTTAATCTATTATGCGAGTTCGGTCATGCCTCCCTTTTTGCCTTATTTGGGCTTTTTACGGTCTCCATTCTTCCCGTTACCAAGAATATTCGATGAAATGAGTTAACCCTTGAACCCCCTTCAAAAGATATGCCTATGGAACACGACAATAGAAGTAATTCATCGTTATAGAATGTACTAAACGAAGCATCACTAGATTACAGTTTTTGGCGAAGGTACTTGGTTTAGTCCTGTCTAGAAAATAGTGGAGATGTCTAGAATCTTCTAGAACAAGTCTGAAGAGCCACATTTTTGTACAAGTAGTCCAATTTTGTCGTTATAAGTCAGTTTCTAGTTAGATATCGTGTTGTTAAGATGAATATTGTCGATATAAATTGGTGTAGAGCAGTAAGAAATATAAATAAGTATAAATAGAGTTAATAAATAAACGTTACACTATCTAAAAAATGCTTGGAAATAAGATATCGCCCATCGGTGTTTCTCAGGTCATTTTAGTCTTTTTTTATGTACAGGGTTTTTCATTATATTTTGACCACTACGTATTTTCGTAATTCTTGTGAACTCAAAAAAGTTTCAAGTAAAAGCTTTGTTGTTTTATCTCAACTTTTTCGACCACAGTAAAACCCACATCCCCAACTAGCCATTCATAAAAGTGTATTTGTTGTGAAGTTCTCATCATCATCTATTGTATAGTCCAGGAGACAGTGACGATTTTCGGTATTTATTTTCCCAGTCAGCAAGCACGAATAGAGAATTGTAGGATTAGCAATTCTAAGCAAAACTCATATATATTTAGAGGGGGGATCCGATGGGCTGAGGCCGAAAATGCGTCAAAACATACGAGAACACGGCCCTTTTTTCCATTGATAAAAATAGTTTTAGTAGTAAGAGATGTACTGAAGTTAAGTAAACAAATAGTCTGATTAATCTGTATGGATAATATATTTGGCAAGTGCATAAAATACACTTTCAAACGAGTTATGTACACAATTATTTCTACGACCACAATTATTTAAAGAATGTCCCAGGTGTTTTGTATATTAAAGTGTACGCATAGGACACATAAATAAAATCATATATCACAATGTTTCACCTAACCAGTTGGTTTATTTATAGAAATTAAACATAATAATTGAAGATATTACAGAAGAAAATAGGGAAATAAATTACATTTCCTTTTACACTTTTATACAGTGAGCATCATAAGTCTTACCCCCCCTAACTAACTCGTTACTGGGGTCTTGTTAGGAAAATCACCGAGACAGGTCGATTTTTGATTTCTACAATGTACATTTTTGCATGATTAGTTTTCCCTTAATTTCATCCCTTATTGGAGGGTAGCAACCCTTTCGAAAAATTTAAATGGCATGGGGTGGTGAGTGATAGCTCATTTGAAAGGGGGTTTTATTCTCTATTCAACCGTGCAAAAAATTTTAAAATTTGCTTCATTACGTGTTGATTTATTAATGTTTAAAAATAACAAAACCTCACAAAATAGGAAAGCAACTAGACTAACAGTAACCTTCTAATGGCAAAAAGGCTTACTTCACGTACTGAACCAAAACCGAAATCATGCAGGGCCGAATTTTAATTCTAAGGATGAGTGCGCTACGTTAATTTCCGTTATTCTGAAACAACAATTAGTCGAGAATTAATGAAGCAAATTTCAAATTTTTTTACACGGTTGAATATAGAATAAAACCCTCTTTTAAATAAGCTATCACTCACCACCCCATGCCATTTAAATTTTTCAAAAGGGTTGCTCCCCTACAGTAAGGGATTAAATTAAGAGTAAACTATTTATACAAAAATGTACATTGTAGAAATCAAAAATCGACGTGTCTCGGCGATTTTCCTAACAAGACTCTAGTAACGAGTTAGATAGGGGAGGTAAGGCTTATGGTGCTCACTGTATAATAATTGTTTTATTTAGAATTCACGAAACATTAATTATAACGAAACATTAATTATAATATAGTTTCGTTATATCAAATCATTTATACTAGAGGTGTGAAGAAAATACAGTGAACTGTGGAACGCCAATATCGTTGGATGCGCGTGGTAGAAATGGTCCTATAATACTGCTAAAAACATAGCTAAATTTTCATGGAAACCCTGTACTTTTGACATTTGCGATACTCCGACGCATATGCATTATTGATGTAATCTCATGATTTTACAGTAATAGTTTTTGCAATTTTAGTGTGATTTTTAGGATATTATGGTTATTCATTTTATTTGGTTCTGATCTTTTGCGCTCTTAGAGTATTTGTCTTTTATATAGTTTTTAATTTGAATTTTAATATTGTGGTCTATTTATATTTGATTGCTGCTTTTCGACTAGTGCTTTATTCTTTTTGTGTTAAAATAAGCTTTATAACCATTAAGTACATGCTTCTAGTTGATATCTACCTAATCGTCATCGGGTGCTTGCAACAATGGGAAAAAGTGTATGGTTTTTTTGGTGTAAAGTTAGACGAAGGATAGCAATACGTCCTGGTTCGGGGTGTGACTTTTGGGTTTTAGCTATCTGAGCCAAATTGTCGGCTAAGTGTCCTCTTTTAGGGCACCCAGAACCGAAAACTATATAGGTATATAATATGTTTTTTTTTAAATTATTTTTTAATATGTATGCAGCTTGGATAAGGGCTTTAGGAAGAGATCCTAAGACTGAAACACTGACTGCTATAAATGCCGTTTTTAGAGCACATTTCATAGTAAGTGATTTCATTCTAGCAGGAATGAGGAAACGTTTAAAAAACATGCTGTACCAGCTATTACTTAAGACCTCGTCTCTTTAAGTTATTATTACTTCATTCTAATGCATATATTAAAATGGTTTTTAACTTATGCCCTTATGTTTAAAAGATGTAGGTATTTTAGTTATGTTATAATAGAAATATATGATACATTGTATTGACTGACCTACTGGCCAGTGGCCATTCCACTTTTACTCCCTTTTTTCATAAATTATCAAATTATTTAAAAACAAATACATACCTAGCTATTTTCTGTAAATTACATTAAAAATGTGAAAAACGTATTTCTCATCTATTAAATTGGTATTAATTTATTAAAACAAAAATAATACCTGACTCGATAACTTAAATCAGTGAAAATAAGTTGCTTGAGATGGGGTCGTTTTTATGTAAAATTTTAGTGTTAATACTTTACTAATAACACTTCAGTTAATTTATCTTATATATATATACACAACGGAAGAGTTAATTGGATTTTCTCCTTGTTGAGTTTCAAAAATGGTAATTTAACGTGATTTAAAAACAAATACATGAAATGGGCAAAATAGGCCTGCAAAGGCACTTTGTAAACAATCTCACTTGTATCGATGTGACGTAATGCGCGAATTCAATCTGGCTTGCTTTTGTTAATAGATTGGCGTTCCATTTTAAATATACAGTTCACTGGGAATAGATTATTTAAATATACACGGACCGGGAAAACAAGTACGAAAAAAATTCACTGGCTCTTGGACTAGTACTGTATCGAAGGAATTTTATGAATGAAACAATATTTGACCCTCCACACAATTGCGGTCTACTATAGTTCCGCTGTTGTCAGACGTTATTTTTTTTTTGGACAATTTAAAGACCTAACAGTATTTCAAGCAAACGCATTAACATTACTACAGTTAAAAACATCGCAAACTTGGCATCAATATTTTAATTTTATCCAAATATTGCATTTCTGTCGAGGATCATCCGCGTTGACTTCAGAAATTGTATAATCTGTCTTGGTTATATATATCTATAGTTAAAAGCACGTAAACTTGGCATCATTGTTCAATCCGATTATTGGGTTTCTACCGCGGACACCACCGTTCATTCTTCAAAAATTTAGTAAATAATCCTATCTATCTTGGTTATATATCTATGGTAAAACCCATTACAAGCAATCAATTGACAACTTTTAATAAACAAACAACTGTTTCACTTGGAAACATGATTTTCATAGCTATCTATGTGTTATGCTTTCATAGTGCAAGTCACTATATAATTAAAATATTATATATTTTATATTTATATATTTATCAGGAAACGCAAGACTACTTAAAATGGCAAAAATATATAGGGTGTCCCATTAAAAAAATTAAATTATATTTGGTTGGAGTCGTCCTGTATATACAATTCAGCCTGTTATTACATTTTTAGTCGGTGCAGATAGAACAACATAGCTTCTACTTAAAACTTTTTTTTGTGTTTGCAATAATAATGAAAATAAATTGCGGTCAAATTATAACGAAAAACCCTGTACTGTAGATCGAGTAGCTAGAGAGCATGTTGGTAGTAACATGGTTGTGATGAAGCATTAGGCATTCCAAACTGAATGGCTACCAGTGGGGTTTGACGGGTTATGATATGGCAAAATTATGGCATCCCTGTAGGCCTGGTGATTTGACAAGGTCAATGAAATAGATAGTTACATAGATTGATCATCCATATTTTTCAAAATAAACATAAGCTTATGCTTTGAAGTAAAAACGTAAGCAAATATTTTTTTTTAATGTCTAAAGGCTAAAAATTGGTTTTAAAATACATTTTTGCTAAACCGATTCAAATTAATAAATATTTGCCAGGCAATATGGCCGCTCGTAAACGACCAGCTTTGAGCAATCTATATAACTATATATGTATCATTGACCCTGTTAATGACAACATAACAACAGGGTTGCCATATCTAAACTGTCATTACCCACTGGTAGCCATTTGGACAGGTCGTTGGAATGCCTAATTGCTTGTTTTTGAGTATATTTCTTCTCTGCTACCATATTGAAGTCCATGTGC